TACATGGCCCAGCGTGGTGGTGAAGATCAACGCGTAGCATGACATTGCATGGCGTGGCGACGCCCCAAAAGTGGGGGAGGGGGGGGGGTGCTTCTGCGGCTTAAAAAATCAACACATCGACACCGAATGTGTATTCACTTCCGATGGTTTTTTCGGGCGGACTTTTTATAGATTTTGGGGCAGGTTTGGAAGGACCGAACAAGAACCCGTGGCATGGCACTGGAAATAATGACGCCAGCGCTGCAGCGGGAGCACGATTCGGAACGAACGGAAGCGCGGAAATGATGTCAGCGCTGCAGCGGGAGCACGATTCGGAACGAGCGGAAGTCCGAAAATGAGGCCAGCGCCTCAGCGGGAGCAACATTTTGAACAACAGCCCAAGCGAAAACCCATTTCCCGGGATTGTTTAGTGTGTATAAAATCAGTACGCGGAGGGGGGCCGGATATCTTCCGGACGTCATCAGGGGAGAGAGGAGAGTAGTATTCATATTGTGCAATTGTGAAGGGAGGAGGAGGAGGAGGAGGAGGAGGAGGAGGAGGAGGAGGAGGAGGAGGAGGAGGAGCAGGAGCAGGAGCAGGAGGAGCAGGAGGAGCAGGAGGAGCAGGAGGAGCAGGATGAAGAGGTGGAGGAGGCGGAGCGCGAGGGTGCACGCCTCTTTTGGGCGCTCCGCGCGGGCGCGCGCGCCAGGTCCTGTGATGTGCCTGGGGTGCGGACGCCCGAGCCGACGCGCTCCTGGGCCCCAGCTGGGGGAGTGGGGCCCGCGCTGCTCCCCCTTCCGCCCCCTCTCCTCCATCCGCCCTCCCTTGCCTCGTCGCCCCTCCCTCCCCTTCTCATTCCTCCCCTCGCCCTGCACCTCCTCTGCCTTCTGCCGCCGCCGCCCACGCTCCTTCCACTACTCCTCCCCGCCGCCCTCTCCCCCCCCCACTTCCCCTCCCCTCACCCTCCTTCCCCTGCCCGGATCTCTCGCTCTCCTCTTTCATCTCCCCCCCAGCGTCCCCATCCTCCCCCCCCTGCGTCCTCGCTCCTCGTCGTCATCGTCGTCGTCTCCCTTCTCCTACTCACCTCCTCTTCCTAGCTGTTTTTCATCCGATCTCATATGGCTCCACTCTTCCCCCTCTCCGCCACCCCCTCTCCCTCCTCCTGGGGGTGCGTGCACGTGAAGGAGGGGGGGGCGGGTCCGCAACCATTGCGACTCAAGCCTCACTCGCCTCAGTACAGGCGCTCATGCCCCGCCCCTGCGCGTGGGCCTTCCTCGCCGCGCCATATCTGGCGGGGCTTTGGATGCTGTTCTCAGAGCGGCCTGGCCTCGCTCTGGAGTGCTCGCTGTGGCTGGTGGAGTTCGCGCTAGACGCGGCGCGTGGGCGCTGGCCGCGGGCCCTGGAGCGAGACGCTGGCGGTGCAGCTGGCGCGGAGTGTGATTCGTCGGGAAGTGTATCGTGTACCCCTTGCCCGGCACCCGAGAGGTGCGAGGAGGAGTTGGTGAACCAGTCGGGCGTTTTCGATCTGTTCACGGACTGCCCAGCCGTCATCGACGAGCTGTGCGAGTGCGAGCCGTGCCCCGTCTGCCCAGCCCCCGCCGAGGTCCTGGAGGAGGTCCCCTCGGACTTCGAGTGCGATCAGTGTACCCCTTGTCCGGCGCCCGAGCGGTGCCCAGAGACTGAGGGGCTTCCCTCAGCGCAGGAGTGCGAGCCAGCGCCGGTGCTCGAGTACGAGTCGGCGCGGGCGACGGCTTCGGTCAACGTGTTCCAGCTGGGTGTTCACGTCCTGTGGGTGTCGCTCGACTCCGTGGCAGTATGGCGATCGTCGAGCACACTGCGCCTTGGCCCAGGCACATTTTCGGGGGGTTGTTCGAGAGTAGTACGTGGGGCCACGAGCGGGTGCGAGCCTGGCCTTCGTCAGCCTCCTGCTGGTTGGTATACATAGCCAACGGGGACGTTTATGGCGAGGATACCAGCCCATGCGAGAAGGTCGTCATGGTCAAGACGGCGGCTGCGCGGGCGCGGGCCGTGCCTGGTGGCGACCTCCGACGCGACCCTCTTGCGGTGGCCCTCCATGCCGCCGAGGCTGCTGTTCCGCCTGCGGTGGCCTGGCGCGTGTCGGGGCCAGGGGTGGACTTCGGGAAGATAGGCACCAACGGCGAGCCGCGGATGCCTGCGAATGCGGGGCGCCCGTATGAGGTGGCAGCGACGGACGACGGGCAGGGAGTGCCAGTCATGGCCGTCGACCCGCAGCTCAGGTTCAAGGAATTCGAGGCCCAGAGGTGGGCTCAGCTCTCGCCGCCTACGCCGCGGGGGCCGCCCGAGCCCGCCCCCATGTCCGACGACGACCCTGTCGCCGCTTCCTCTCGGGAGGCGGGGGGCCAGGACGCGGGCGCGGCAGGCTCCGGTTGCCCGCTGTCCCAGCGGCCCCCTGGCGATGGACCGCCCCTTCCGCCGCGGGCGGGGCCGCCGCCAGACGGTGGTGTGGTGTCCTTCGACGGGCGGGTGCTCAAGGTCGACTGGGACTCGCAGGGGGAGAGGCGCGCGCTGCGGGGGCAGGCCAAGAGTTTCGAGACGTTCGGGTGCTACGACCTAGCGTCCCTGCCGTGTCTGGCGGGGGCGGAGGTGCCGATGCGGAGGTGGCAGACCATCGCGGAGGCCCGCGCGGCGCCGGGCGCAAAACTCAACTACCCCGCGGCCAAGGTGCACTCGGGCACCGCGATGCTGGAGAACGCGGCGGCGCCAGACCCGTGGTGGTACGGCGCCAAGAAGTTCAAGGAGAAGATGATGGAGGGCAGCGTGCACCGGGGGGGCCTCTCCCTGAAACGCGTGGAGGACGGGGAGGACGATGGCACAGGAGCGGCCGAGCCGGCCGCAGCCGCAGGCGGCAGCAGGGAGGCGGGGGTCGCAGAGCCGGCAGGGCGAAGATGAACGCCAGGGCCAGGCTCACCGCGCCCCCGCCGCCTAAATGAGCGAGGCGCGCGGCGGGGGACTTGGACCGGCCCCCGCCGCCTCTTTCAGGTCCTGCATGGGGGTGCATCGGCGCTTGCCGGCCTTCGACATCCCGGCCAGGCTGGGCGGTGCCTCTCGCCCGCCCCGACACCGACATGGGGGCGGCGTGGAGGTGCTGAGGCGCAAGAACGAGACCGTGGATGCGCTCCACTGGCGGTTGGGTGCGCGGACTTCGGCGTGCTCAGGCGCCTCTGAATTTGTGATGGAGGCCGTGGCTGCCCTTGTCGCCCCTGTCGTTGCGAAGCCAACGACGGCGCCTTCCCATGAAGAAACCGCTGGTGTGCTTCTCCGTGGTCACCTCAGCTACGGCGCCGAGGAGACCCATGCCACCGTCGTGCCCTGCGAGTTTGGTTCCGTCTCGCTCCCCGAGCACGTCCACGATGCAGCCGACGTGACGGCGGTGCTGGATGCTGAGGGCCGCCTGATCATCGAGGGTTGGCAACAGAGCATGATGCAGTCTCCTGATGAGCTGCGACAGCTCAACGAGAGGCTGGGTGATATCAAACCGTTCAGGGACAAGAAGCTGTCACGGAACCAGAAGGCCTACCGTCAGTTCATCCTTGACCTCGACCGGCGGGGCATGATCAAGTGGACCACTGATCCCATCGAGCATGCTGGCTTTTTCGTCGTCGGCAAGAAGGATGAGTCTCTGAGGCTCATCATCGACGCGAGAAGGGGGAATCGTCGTTTCAAGACTCCTCCGCACACCGATCTGATCACGAGCGAGGGTTTGTCCAGGATAGAGTGCGAGCCCGGGTTCGTGGGCGACCCGGAGTGCGGCTTCGCGCTGGGGGTGGGGGATGTCGAGAACTGCTTCCACCCGCTGCGGCTGCCCGACGGTATTCATCGGTGCTTCGCTCTGCGGCCCATCCCCGCCAAGTGCACCGAGCTGCGGGGCACCGTGGGGCGGGGCGCCCCCATGTGCCCGTGCTCGGCTTCGTTCCCCACGGGGTTCACATGGTCCTTGTGGGTCGCCCAGCGCTGCAGCCAGCGAGGCGGCGCTGGACAGGGTCGCGCAGCTCGGGCCCAGCAGGGGGATCACGGACCACACCGAGCCGATCGTTCTGCGAAAGGGCGGGGAGGTGCAGTACGCCCTGTACGTCGACAACCTGGACGTGTTCGGAGGGGCCGAGCCTCCGGCACAGCTGGCGCTCGGCGCTGGCTGCGCGGCCTTGGGGGCGGTCGGGCTCAAGACGCACGAGCGCGAGCTGATGGCAGGGGCAGGCGAGACGCTGGGATGCCTGCTGGGCGGCCGGCAGCTCGAGACGCGGGTGACTGAGAAGCGAAGGTGGCGCATTGATGGTGCCTTCCGCTGGGCCCCTCGGCGCCGCCGCCTCAGTGGCAAGCAGCTGGAGAGGCTCGTCGGCCACGCCGCATTCGCGAGCCTGCTGGGCCGCACGGCGCGGAGCGTTTGCAACGCCTGCTACGCCTGAAGACATCGGCATGGCGACAGCATGGCCGTCGTGTGGCCGACCGTGAGGCAGGAGCTCCAGGCGTTCATCGGGCTACTGCCGTTGGTTCGCGCACCGTGGGATTTGCCCTGGAGCGGGACGGTGGTGGCCACCGATGCCTCTCTCGAGGGATGGGGGCACTGCCGTTGTGTGCTGACGGCCGATGCTGTGGCTAGCGTCGCTCGCGTCCCAGAGGTTTCGCGTTTCCGTCGCACGCGTGGCCTTGGAGCTCGCGCCGCTGCAAGCGCAGCACTATATCCATTACGTGACGCTGACGAAACTCATCATCCGCCGCCATTCATAGACACAGCCAACATCACCGACATCGGAGAGGCCTTGCCCATGTCGTCGGCGGAGGAGGAGTGGATGGTCGACAGCTCGTTCCTGGAGGTGCCCCTCGGTGAGGGGGGTCTCTTCTCAGCCCGGGACTACATCACTGAGGGCGATTTGATATCACCTTGGAGAGTTACTGGAAAGGGTGAGTGAAATTTCGGAGAACGCATTCTGGAGTTAGAAGCCCGAGCTCTGGTTCTGGGCCTGGAGAGCCGAATCGCCGAGGGAATCGCAAATAGTCATAACCTGTTCCTGGTGGACAATATGGCCATCGTTCTCTCGTTCGCTCGGGGTAGGTGCAAGAACTATGTGGTGCTGCAGCAGATCCGACGTTTTCGTGCTCTCTGTCTTATTCACAACATCCGTCCACATTTCCGCTGGATCAAGTCTGAGTTCAACCCGGCGGACGCGCCTTCCAGAGATGGAGGCGAGCCGGGGCCGCAGCGCAGCCACTGCCAGGTAGAGGGCCGCGGCCAAGCGGACCGCCCGCCTGGGGCCGCCCAGGCCAGCGGCGGCCGGGTCCGCGCCCACTCTGGAGTGGCTCCCGCCGACGGCGAGCCGCCCGCGGAGGCGCGCGCAGCTGCGCCCTCCTGCGCACGGGCCGCCGCCTGCGGCTGGGCAGAGCCAGGCTGTCGGCCGGCGGGCGCTGGGCATATCGGCTCCCATGCTGCTGCGCCAGTGGCCGGTGCCGAAGCCGGGGAGCCTGTCGGTGGAGGTGGTCGTGACAGGGCCCCTGTTCGTCGCCGCGCGCGCGGAGGCCGGTGCCGGCCAGGACCGCGGCGAGGTGGCAGTGGCCGCGGAGAGCGCGGACAGCAACGACCTGGACGCCGTCGCGAGATGCGAGCGGGGGCGCTCCAAGTACCTGATGGACGCCCGGCGCGCCATGGGCCAGCTGGGCGCCCTGCGCGAGTTGGAGGTCGGGCAGCCGAAGACCAGGGAGTACTACTACCTCCCGGTCTCGAGGTTCGTATACTGGGCGAAGCAGAAGCGGCTGACCCCCCCCCGCCGAACCAGCTGGATGGGACGCTGTGCATCCTCAAGGCAGAGCTGTTCCTGTCCGAACAACCGGCGAATGTGGGAAGAGGCTGCTGGCTGGTGTCCCGCGCGTCCTTCTGGGGTCTGGGAAGGTTGGCCGGCTCTCGCTCCCGCGCCTCCTGTGCTACCTGGGGCCTTCCAAGCTGCTCGGCGTGAAGGGCGGGCACTTTGTGGCGTCGGTGGGGGGCGTGTCCCGCCACTGGAGCCGGCTGCTGGCGCCAGAGGAGCTGGGCATCCCGACCAAGGTGGGCGCGGTCAACGACGGCCTCCAGCTAGGCACGATGGAGCCGAAGTGGCTGGACGTGGTGTGGCGGGGGCTCAGCGCCGCGCCAGCGACGCAGCGGGTCTGCCCGTTCAGCTACCAGGACCTGTCGGCCGACGTGCAGACTGTCAGTGTCACGCGGGGCTGGAGGCTAGTTCCCTACCAGCATCGTCACGACAAAGCTTCGCACGACAGGCAGCGGCAGCTACGGGGCCTCCCAGAGGTGATGATGCGGGACCAAGGGCGGAAGTTCAAGTCGGTCACCAGGTACCCTGAGGTTCTTTTTTTCTATTTTTAAGAAAAACCTGAAAACGCCCGCGGGAAATAGAAACAAAAAAATCACAGAAAAGTTATTGACAGAAATTAGGAAAACATTCTAGATTTTCTATTTTCCAATTGGCCAAACCGTCCGTCACCCGAGTTACCTGAATCCGCGCGTGCGAAGCTGTGCGAAGCTGGCTGTTGCATGGAGAGGAGGAGTGGAGGAGGTGGAGGAGGAGGAGAAGGGAGAGGAGGAGGAGGAGGAGGAGGGATAGGGGAAGGGATGGAACGAGGTTGCCTCTGTGTTGTTCTCCCGCCTTTGCCCGCTCCGAGTCGCGTGGTTCGAGCGGGGCCATCAGGTCGGGCGAGGGCTCGCGGCGATGGCGAGCGAGACGCGGCAGCCGCGGCAGGCTCGACTGGGGAACGACAAGGGAGAAGGACGTAGGAGGAGGACGCAGGAGGAGGAGGAGGAGGAGGAGGAGGACAAGGAAAAACGGGAGGAGTAGAAGCAACATCAGCAGCGGGAGCAGCAACAGGAGCAGCAACTGTTAACTCCCTTCCTCCTCGCCGTTGTCCTCCCCTTCATCCGTTGTCGCCGCCTCCTGCTCCTCCTCATCCCCGTGGTTCTCATCTTCCTCCTATCCAATTCCAAAAAATCCTCACGTCCCTCCTCGCCAATACTGTTGCTGTTCACCCTCCTGCTCCTTCATTCCCTATAAAACTCATCCGACTCCTCCTTCTTCCGCCTACTCCTCCTCATCATCCTCCTCTTCCTCGTTCCCACGTCCACCGCTCCCACGTTTCTGGGCCTTCGCCTTTATCTATCCCCCCCTCGGCCCAGGTGCGCAGCGCCGCGAGGCCCAACGACGCGATCGACGCGGTTGGCGCTGACGCGTGGGCGGTTCCCGCGGAGAGGAGGGAGGAGGGAGGAGGGGCGACTTTGGAGAGACGAGGGGCGAGGGAGGGTAGACGAGAGAAGCGAGAGGATAGAAGGAATATGAGGAGAGAGGATGGAGGGCAGAGGAGAGAGGAGACACAATGTATGCGAGAGGAGAGGGAGGATGAGCGGGAGACGGAGAAAGCGATGAGAGCATGAGGAAGACGATGAGTCTGGAAGATCGAGCAGGATGACGAGGGAGACCCGACGGGCCAGCCAGGTTCGCGAGCTGCCCCCCATCCAGCTGGACACGCCGCTGCGCGAGGCTGAGGACACGCCTCGTCCCTCCTCCATTCCTATCCTCCTCCTTCTCCCCCTCCTCTCCCCCTCCTCTCCTCCTCCCTCCTCCTCCGCCTCCTCCTCCCTCCTCCTCCTCCTCCTCCTCCTCCTCCTCCTCCTCCTCCTCAGCTGCTGCTTTCGCCTTGCCCCGCTCCCCAGGGCGGCAGCCAGCTGGCCCCTGCCGCCCCCGGATCGCCCGCGCCCTCGGAGGCGGAGACGGTCACAGCGAGCACTGGAGCTCTGGCCGAGGCTGGGATAGGGGGGTGATCAGGATCATGAGGGTAAAAACTAAGAGGAACGACGGTGGAACGGAGGAGGATGAGGTGAGGATGGTAATGACAGGACTTGCTAGGACTACGATGGTTTCGACGATGTCGAGGCTGGCTTATGATGGTGACGATGGTGACGATGATGTTGATGGCGTCGGCGATGGTGATGGTGGTGGTGGTGGTTATTATGACCATGATGATGGTGGCAATGGTAAAGTGGATGATGATGGGAAGGAGGAGGAGGAGGAGGAGGAGGAGGAGAGGAGGAGGAGGAGGAGGAGGAGGAGGAGGAGGAGGAGGAGGGGAGAGGGGAATGAGGACAGGGCAATAACGAGGAGCAGCAGCAGGAGGGAGGACAAGCGGAAATACGAGGGTATGTATCAGCCTCGAGTGGGAGTTCTGCAGGCTCACCCTTTCCACATCCTATACCGCATTGTCCAGAGATCACCCGTTCCCTTCCAACTGAATCCCCTCGCCAATCTCTGCTCCCCTTCCAACTGAATCCCCCGTCTGCTAATTCTCAATCCCCTCGCTTCCTTCTCACGCTCCACGCCCATCCGCCCGCGCCGCCCCCTTCCCAGGCGGCGGCGGCTGAAGCGCCCGTCGATGAAGATGCCGAGTTTGCGAACAAGTTCCAGGCCCGAGCCGCAACGGCAGGAGACAGTGGCCAAGGAGTGCGAGGGAAAGGAGTAGGATGAATGAGAGGCGGGGGGAGAATGTGAGCGGCCAGGGGGACAAGGAGATGCAGGGATGAGGGTGAGGATGGTCGTAAAAAACAGTGAAGACGATCAGCAACTAATCAAGATCGCGACGACGATGACGTAGAGGGGGAGGGAAGGACTAGCAGGAGGGAAGGAAACGAAACGATGGAGAGGAAAGCGGGACCACCTTGGAAGGTCGGCTGGAGAGCAGGCTGGATTCTCAACGACAATACCTAGACGGGAACTTCTGAGATGCGGCCCTGACCCTTGTTCATCCCCGAAATGATCCCCCTCCCCCCCTTCTTCCGTCATGCCTTTGCCCTCCTCCTCTGCCTCTCCTCATTCCCTACCTCCTCATCCAGCTGCTGCCCCATCTCCACCCCATGCCCCCCCTCCTCTTGCTCGGAGTTGGCCCGTGTCACACCCCTGGCCTATTTCACAGTTTAGGCACATGCTCTGTATGGTTAATGTTTCGCGTGGTCTGAGTATGGGTGAGAACGAGTATGAGTCGGTCTCTTAGTGAGTATTCAGAGTTTGCGTGAGTCTGAGCGTGAGTGAGGCAGACCATGAGTGGTGATTACGGGCGAACTTGGCCCTAGCACGAATCGCAGCTCTCGTTCGATCCGTAGAAATTTTGGCTCGAGCCTAAATTCAGGCTTGCAGCGCTAGCCTCCATTCGTTCGCACCCGCGGCGAGGTTCAATGGCTGATGGTGGTGACGACACTAAGAACATCGCGAATGCGCTCGACCCACACATCCAGAAGGTCAATTCCATCACCTACAAGATCGAAGGTGGCATGAACAGGGCGCTCATGACGTCCCACAAGGACATAGTCAAGGACCTCATCGCCGTACGGTCCAATCTGAGCTTCAAGAAGATAGAGATGCAGCATGCCTTCAAGCACGTGGCGCAGCGCTTCGCCTCCAGGACCTCGCACGAGAAGACTGACTGGCGCGAGACCATGGCCGCCCGCGCGCGGGCGCTGTGCAGGCATGCGGCCCAATACAGGTGCAAGAAGACGGGCGCGCCGAGATGGTTCAGGAGTTTAGGCCTGGCTGATGGTGGCGATGATAGCGCTGGCGAGGACGGAGCGACTGGCTCCGCTCCCAGCGGCGGTGAGAGCCAAGGCAGCGCTGGGTCAGGGAGAGGAGGGACGGGCCGCCGCCCTTCGAAGCCACCAGCTTCCAAGGCCGAGGAGGAGGCCGCACGCAGTCAAGAGGGCGAAGAAGAGGAGGAGGCGGAGGACGAGTTCGACGAAGATGAGGAGGACGAAGAAGAGGAGGAAGAGGAGGCAGTGGAGGATGAGGAAGAGGCCGACGCTGCTACATATGATTCGAAAGGAAAGGCGGCATCGGCTGGGACGGGGCCCAAGATGAAGAAAGCACTCGATCAAGGAACCGGGGGGCAGCCAGTGAAGAAGAAGCCTGCAGGAGCCGCGCTGGGTTACGAGGACTACACGTTCTCCTACGACCCCGAGACGCGCCTTGCCAGTCGGCGCCCGAGGGGGAGTAAGAGGAGCACTCACGACGAAGACTGCGTACGAATGGAACCGCCCGAGAACGGGTGCCCCACAGACCCCGTGAATGCAGTCTTCGGAGACGGCATGGTCCACAAAGTTGCGGAGACCACAGTCGCAAGTTATACAGCATCAGCTGCGGCCTGCAAGCCTCCGTCGAAGAAGACCAGTGGGCACGAGAAGTACGAGTTCAGCGGCGACCACCCTGAAGGAGGCCACCTCAGCACCAGCCTTCGGTGGAACAACGTCAGAGACAAGCCCGAGCAGCGCTTGATCAGCTTCAAGCACTCTGGGTGGCAGATCTTGCAGATCGACGTCCTCCATTTCAGGGCCGACGGCAATGAGGACAGGAACATCGACGAGGTAAACGAGCTCCCAGTGTTGGAGAAGGCGGGCCTCCAGTGGGCGTACCCCATTGCAGAGCGCATGAGCAAAGGTGAGATCGACCTTGAAGAGGCCAAGCGGCTGAAAGCGGATAAGATCAAGGAGCACGAGGCCATCGTAAAGAAAGCAAAAGGGGAGGGCAGCGAGAACAACCCCACTGGCAAGGCTAGAGGGAAAAGAATCAAGATGAAGCGCCCTGCGGCGGCAGAGACACAGCCAGAGACCGTTCCCGAGACACCATCAGGCTACGAGTCCGACCCCAAGAAGCACAGCCACGACGAGTCTTCCCAGATTGCAGCTGAGGAGGATATCAACCAGCACGATGGCAACATGGCGGTGATGCACGGGGTGACCGACGCCACAGTTTCAGGAGATGACGCTGTCATCTCGACGGGCTCGGCTGCTTCGGCCGCGACAGGTGGCTCGGAGCAGCAGAGCGTGACGCCATCAACGAAGCCTAGGATCAGCCCGCCCGTGTCTAGGATCAGCCCGCCACCAAACAGCGATTCCGAGTAAGGCGCTGCCCGAGACTCGTGCACTAGGCTGTAGCGGTGCGAAGTCCATAGGCATAGCGACGACGACGGAGAGCGTTGTCAAAGATGACGTTGATGTTGAAGATGATGACGACGGAGATGACGATAACGCGAAACGAAGTGTAGGCATCTTGCGATGCTATAGTTAGTGTATTTCTCCACCGCCTCTTCCTCCTCCGCACCCCTCTTTCTCCATCTCCTTCTCCTCATCCTATTCATCCTTATCCTCGCCCGTCCAGGCCGCGACGCACTTGCGCCAGGATGAGACCAGGAGCGCCGAGCGTGCTGACATCGTCGCAAATCAATCCGACATCTGAGTCCCGACACTCTCATCCCTCCTGTCCTCATACCCTTTCCTTCGCCTCCCCATCGCCTCCGATTCCCTCCCCCCATCAA